AAAAGAAAAAAAGGAAAAAAATTTAAAAACGAAATAACATTTAAATTAAATTTTAATTATAAGTTTAACGATCTAATTTCGTACCAGAAATGTTAGTATTGATCGCTTTAGGAGCTGCAGAGAGTCAGAAGTAGATACTATAGCAAACAGTCTATTATAGTCCGAACAAAGTACTCTGAAAGGCTCATGCACGTTATAATTAGATATACAAAGATTTTAACCTAAGGAATATAATTTTTAGTAAATCTAAAGTAAATTCTAGGAGCTAATTGTTGCGAAGATCTTTTATAAGAGAGTCAAACGAAAATGTCCCTAAGTTAGTAACTCGGTAGCTGTAAACTTCTGACTGAAATTATAATACTCTTTTGCTCTGCAAGGGTATAAAAAATATAATTTTTGTCAGTAACACTTAAAAAAAAGTGTAGTATGCATTTGTTAGTCAAATTTTTAAGATTTTATTGTAAACACGATGGTAGGGGATAAATATGGCGTTAATGGTGCTGATACTTAAAATATAATATTCATAGGGGAGAGTGGTCCCATACCGACCGGTCGTACCATACGGATAAGGTTTTCTGATAGTTGGTAGTCCTAGCTGTCATTCACGCTATAAGAATTACATCGCTCTTTGCGTCATTAGATAATGGCGAGCAGTATATTAGAAAAGGTTGTGGTTGTCCGAAACCGACCGCAAAGTGATGGTCCGAAACCGACCCCCATTTATTGGCAGCTTAATATGTCATAGCGTATTTTTGAGGGAAAATATGAAAAAGTAAACAAGATTCAGTAAAGAAAAGTAACAGAAACAGCAAAAACCTCAGAAGAAAGCGAAGAGACAGTCATCAACGAGCGGCTTTCGAAAAACAACGCGAAAACTTACTATGAGAAAGAGGACAACTCAGACTTCATCAATTGACTACAGTGTCCTTTATTTCATACATTAATTTTTATTTTCTGGAACGAACCTTCAATATATTTCTTAATAAACGTCAAAATCATTAAATTCTATTTTATGTTATTAAATTTTCTGTTAAGAAATAGGGGGTCGGTTTCGGACCACTACTTTTGAGTACGACCAAAAAGTGGAGTTTTATATTTGCCTGGATATCTAACGCTTCAAACCACCTACGCACTTACTAATCAATTAGGTGTATAGTAAACTGATCCCTCTACATAGTAAATTTTTGAACTGAACTGAAAAATTGTTTTTTTTCTCACCTTTATCGCCTTTGCCATTTAGGGGGTCGGTATCGCACCACCCTCCCCTACGCTATTATATACCTACAAAAAAATTTCAAGTCGATATTCCTACTGGAAGTATTTGTGGCCGCCTTCTCCATACAAGACCGACCACTGTGCGGCGGGTCCTAACCGAGTCTGAACATACGAACCCTTTTTTTGAGAAAGTATGGCCTCGGCGGGGAAGAGTCAAGAACCAGACGCACACCGTAAAGTCTACCAGATTGTGATCCGCCGTACGCTTGGTCCGTCTCGTGTCGAGGGTTTTTGTTGTGGTATGACAAGCCGCGAAGGACGCGCAGTTAAACTACACGGGTGTTAAAGGCGTATACGTCGAGAACCCTGCAGTGTCCGCCAGAATTGTGGAGCAGCTGAACCCCGAGAGCAGAGGACTGAACAGTCCAGCACGGAGTAATAGGGACTGGGGTGCAACGTTCGTCTGAAATGGTCGTCTTACGCAAGGTTCATTCGAGGAATACCTGGCGTACGCCAGGACCCCGATGAAAATTAAGTGAGCGCCCGGTGGACCGGCCGGGACAAGAGGTCGCGTTTGCGAAAGGCATACGCCTGGAGAATACGGCACCTGTTCACCCTACTCCAGCGAGATCATCGAGAAAGCTGGCACACCCAGAGGATGCGTCCGGAGAAACACATCGAGAACAGTATTCTATCAAGCAGTGGTCGAATAAATACTCTGAGATCGGAAAACAAAATATGTTTTCTCATTTACCGGTTCAATCACGTAATACAAATTTGGTGGGACCAACGCACAAAATCTACTGAGCTAGCCGCACGATTCCGTAGCGAGCACAAAGTAACAAAATCAGTTCGTTACAATCCTAAACTTAAGTTCTCCCATTTTATTTTGAGCATGGTTAATAAAGCTAGGAGAGTGCTTGAATTTCTTAAACGATGGTCAAAATAATTTGATGATCTGTACGTTAAGGGGCACAACTAGTGTGACATTTCAAAAAAATCTGTTTTTTTTCTTTCATATTTCGGTAGATTACACCTTTAAGGCCAGGTTCCTCTGAAAAACGTACTTTTTTCAATTAATTTTATTTTTATAACAAAAAATGTTGAGTGTTCAATTTTTTTATATATGAAAGTATGTATATGAAATTACTTTAAAAAATTTTTTTTAATTTTTTTTTCAAAATGGCGGTCCTGAAAATGGCTGCTGAACTCGTCCGATTCGTAGATGGGTGACACGATTACTTGAAAAATAATTATCTACAGTGGTGGCCGTAAGTATTTTGTCAAAATAAAAGTGAAATATACTCGAAACCTGAACTTGCTTCTTTTAACTTTTGGTATCAATGGAAAGGTAATTCAAATGCCGTTTGAATGATACCATACTTTTCTCAACTCATTCGATATTTATTGAAAAGGGCAATTTTAAAAAAAAAAAGTAAAAAAAAAAACTTTTTCCCTCGGCTTCAAAACTAAAATTTTTGGACGCAAAAAATTTCTTTAATCAAAAATAATAGGAACTGCAAAAAGAATTTAAAAAAAAATTTTTCTTCTATTTTTTATGATTTTTTGAAAATGACTAGAAATACGCATTTCAGCCATATTTATCTCTTTTCCATACAAATTTTTTCCGACATTGTCACCTTCAAAAAATCATCAAAAATAGAAGAAAAATTATTTTTGAAAAATTCCTTTTGCAGTTCCTATTATTTTTGATTAAAGAAACTTTTTGCATCCAAAAATTTTAGTTTTAAAGCCGAGGGAAAAAGTTTTTTTGACTTTTTTTTTAAATTGCCCTTTTCAATAAATATCGAATGAGTTGAGAAAAGTATGGTATCATTCAAACGGCATTTGAATTACCTTTCCATTGATATCAAAAGTTAAAAGAAGCAAGTTCAGGTTTCGAGTATATTTCACTTTTATTTTGACAAAATACTTACGGCCACCATTGTAAATGCAAAAACCAAAATAGTTTCGTGTTCTGCATCGAAGTAGCTATGGCCGGTAACAGAATGAAAAATTTTCCATGAAAAATCAAAAAATGGCGGACTTTTGAATTTTTTAACCTTTTTTTTCACTTTTAATTGTTTATAACTTTTTTAAAAAATAATGAATATTTCTGGTTCTGGTACCGGCCATAGCCAGACATCTTAAGAGTAAAATGCCGTTTGAGTCAAATCGATAAGTGCAATAGTTTTGAAATGAGAGTGTCACCCATGCGAAAAAACGTGGTTCGGAGAAAAATCAGTTTAAAGTTTCTAAGGCGTTCGAGCGGCCGGACTACCAGCAGCGCTCCTTACTCTTTTATACATACTTCTCGGTCTTGTTGACCTTCTGGACTAATTCTATACTATATCGACAAGTATATAGTAGCAATTTATGAAAAAAAAATTTTTCATTTTTTCAAAATTGTTCAGAGGAACCTGGCCTTAAAAATAACATATTAAAATTTCAAATCGATATCTCAAATAGTTTTTGAGTTATAGCAATTTTAAGAGCAGCCGCTCTCATAACAGTGCAAGCGATCATTTTATCTTTAAACGCGTTTTTCTTCAGTGATAACTCAAAAACTAATGATCCGATCACTATCAAATTTTTTTTACATGTTCTATATATAGTTCTCCCTACAATGACCTATCGATTTTTTTATCCGATCAAAAATCGAATTTTGGCAGGCCAAAAACGACCAAAATTTTTGGTAAAATTCCTTTTTTTTTTTTAAACACCGCCATTTTGTCAATTTCTGATATTTTTTATTTATCGTAGGTCATTGTATAGACAATATCATCTAGTTTAACGAGAATTTTTCATATTTTGATTTCATCCACGGAGAGGGCCGGAATCACTGCAGTAGTTGAGGCACTTTTTTTTTAGCGCCGTTAGAGATCGGCTCTAACTTATAAAATATTTAATTTTTTTCTTAAAAAATTTTACTGTATATTCTTCAAACATGTATAAATATATTCTGAAAATTTTAAAATAATTGATCAAGTAGTTTTTTAAAAAAAAATTCCCAAAAATCACCTTTTTTTTGGCCGTCACACTAGTTGTGCCCCTTAACAAGAATTTATTTTCTTCTAATATTTTAAACAGTATCAGTTAAAAAAAAAAACAATTTGATATTTGCCCCAGCCCGCCTAAACTGGAATGCAATCCTATACTTAATCCCTAATTCCAATATATTGCAATTATTATTGGCAGTGCTTACTTGTTAAGTTCAGATCGTTACAAGTCTTATTTAAATTACTTTTGCTAATATTTTTGTATCGTTTTTCAATTTTTTTTCTTCTTTACATGGTGTCAAAATTTCCAAAATTTCCGTTCAATACACGGCTACGTCCCTCGCTCGGTTTGTGGATGGTAGGCCTTGAGATTACGCGCAAAAAAAACATCCAAAGACATTCTTGCAGAAATGGCATCAATTATTAGCAATCAAACAGCGATTGAGCGACTGGTCCAGGCACAGAGGGCCAAAGTCGTGAACAGTCTTCAGATCATGAAAAACAACGTCCGCCGACAGTGATCTTTGGGATAAAAGATGAATATTCTATGTACGAATGGCACTCTATTTAAAATGGAGTCTGAGTAAAAACCCTCTTTTTAAAGGCCGACCACATTTAAATTTGCTTTTGTTTCAATTTTAAGCTTATACCCTTCTCCCATGCTCTTTACGAATTCATATCATTGTGAAACCCTTATTAAGATGATAAAACCATTTAAAAATATATCGGTTTAATCTTTTTATCAAATTTAAATGAATACTATTAAATACAAGAGAACGTTCTTACCTGTGTTTTAAGTAGTTTATATAAATCAGTCTCCATTAAACACTGAACAATATAAACATCTCTCATTTGGTCTATGCTCTCAACTCGCAGAATGTCTCGGATATCAATTATCTAGGAACATCATATATATTATATATTAATAATAATCCTTTTTTAAATGATAAAACTCCCTTTAAAACGAAAATGTGATTTGTTCTGATATACTAGTATCAGTTTAATAGGATAATGAAAAAACAACTATTTAAAATATTTTTTTAAAAGTATTTTGCAACAACTTGTCGTGTCCAAATCCAAGATTTGGCGCGGGCAACCCCAATAATGTATAACCGAACATATATTTAACCGAAGTTTCTTCAAACAAGAAAGAAAGCTATGTTCAGCAAACTTTGGCCTATATATTATTACCGTTAGGATTTAAATTTGTACTACATTAATCACAAATCCATAGTAATATAGTTCTTTTCAATAGTTAGTTTAATAGATAGTAACTAGTAATACTGTATAGTATTAGAAATACAGTATAATATTAGAAATACTGTATAGTAATAGAAACACTGTATAGGATTAGAAATACTATATATGATAGTATTACAAATGCATGGCAGCTATAAAATATAGTAAGCTGATTCTTATATAACAATAACAATAACAATATAATCGTAACAAATTATTAAGTGTCAAAATGCATGATTGACTAACAACATATACGTGACTTTATTATTGCAGAGCAAAGGGTTTCTAGGAACGTAACCCCCGTGTTAAGCGTGGGCCAAGTGTTTTTCCTCTAGCAGCAACATGTACATATTTAGATAATGTTTAAGAGGCATTGGTTTAAAACTGAGAGACTAGTTTGCTTAAAAACGGACAGGCATATCATACATATCTCCATCGACTCAGATGCTAATTCCTATCATACATATAAACTATTTTGGGGTCAAAAAACCTTTTTCGTCGCGTTTTGTTTAGAATATCTGCAAGAAGGAGTGATTTACTGATTTGGCACGTTTTAGTTTCCCGGGCGCCAAGATTTGATGACATATTTTATTTATTTATTTTTAATTGGCCCAAAATAAACACTTTTTAATAATTAAAATTTTTCGATATCTCGCACCGTTTACGAGATAGCGAGCCTTAAATGTCGGATTATAGTGCGTCCGTTACACGTCACGTCGGGCGGGCAACTAGATTTTTTTTAAGTAAAATCTTTGTAATTTTTTTTAGTTAATTAAATCAAAAAAAAAAAAAAAAAAACAACTAAGTACCGCGAAAAATATGTGCAATATGACGTGTAACGCATGCACTGTAATGCGACATTTAAGGCTCGATACCTCGTAAACGGTGCGAGGTATCAAAAAATTTTATTCAGTAAAAATCGTTTATTTTGGACTAATTGACAAAAATATTTCCTCAAATCTTGATAACTAAAATCTCCCCACTCATTTTAACACATTTTAGAAGATTGCTTAGATATTGTTCTTAAAAAATGATGTAAAATTTCAAAACATTATGACCATTTTGACCAGCAAACACAATTTAAGCATCCTTGTAAGGCGGGAGCTTCTGACAAAAGTTTAAGTTTTTATGCTTTAGAAGATTGTAAAAGTAAAAATTATTACAAAAAATTAGTTTTATTTAAAAGAAAGAAAAATTAAAAATCATATTTTCGTTTCGGGAGAACTTTTTTCATTTAATATTTAGAACTTGTTGTATTACTAATATATACATATAATATTACGTTTTCATGTTTAAATCTTGTCAATATAGTTATTTCTCTGAGAGTTCTTTGGCAATAAGTTTGGTGTTCAAAAGGTGATATTTTTTTTATTGCAACCCTTTGGTTAGTTATTGTGTCATCAGCAGACCTGAAACAAAATAACTTTTTTTAATAAGGTAAAAAGGTACGACATTAGATAAGAGCATGCACATTGTTTAATGTCCTTGCAAAGGGTATTATAATTTTAGTCAGAAGTTCGCAACTCGGTGAAGAAGACACCTCAACCCCATAATGTACATACATATGTTTTTGATCCGTCGCTCCGCCTGTCTGTTTTTATAACTAGTCTCTTAGATAAAGCTATACATATATTGTAGTTTTGCATGCAGTATATATGTCGGAACGCGCCGGATCGGACGACTACATAGGATAGCTCCAGTAGGAACGATCGAAATATAGCGGCTCTAAAATTATAAGGCCATTTTTTTTTTAAGTAACGGGCATGATTTGTTCACGATGGAGATTTCTTACGACCCTTGAATGTGAAATGAAATTTTGTTTAAACGGATAACTATATATATGACTATATATACACCGGCCATGAAAAAGATTGAAAAATCTATTTAAACTTTTTTTTTTTTAATTACGGTGTTTATTTATTGAACCTTCTCTCAACCAGACTAACGACAATTAATAATAATTAATTCATAAAAATTAATTATTCGATCAAAATTATAACATCGTTTTTTTTATCATACAAGCATTATTTCAATATAGAGCTTTTTAACGAATCCTGAATTTCATGAAAATCGTTTACATTGTGAGAATCGGAATAATAATAGGAACAAATAGGTAAACAAAATTTTTAAGTTAAACCGCTTTATGTAAAACATACATTGCAATGTTTATAATATGTATAAAATAGATACAGACGTGGGAATTATAAACATATGCTTAGACTAGACTAAAATAAAACCGTGGGGCAAACAAACATTTTAATCAACGATTGTAGACAATTGACGTGCCCCACGGTTTTATTTTAGTCTAGTCTTTGTTGCACATTTTGAACAGTTTTATGTTATGTTATGTTACAAAAAAAATTGGAAAATATTTGACAAAAAAAAGCGACAAGTTCAAACAAAAATAAACTTTTTTTAAACTTTTGTTTCTTTGAATACAAAAAAAGTATACATAAATATAAACTATTTGATTTTCATGCTTCTTAGGTTAACAAGAAGGGAACTAGCGTCGACAAGCCGAAGCTTATACACTCTTGCAGTCATCAAATATGTTGAACAAAATACATAAAGGCTAAGCAACATCGGAGATATGACGTGTTTTCTATTAAATTTCAATGTTTCGTCGATATAGACGTCCGATTTTGATTAAATTTTATTTAAATTTCAAGAGTTATTAAAAATTCTTAATTCCAAAAATCATGATCATGAAAAACAACGATGTTATAATTTTTTTTTCCGTTAATTCTGTATAGATTTTTCGATCATCTAGCAGCTATATGATGAAATTATATGAAAATTGGAAGACTATGATTTTTATGTTATTTATTTTGAAATTCGAGAGTCGTAAGAAATCTATATATATCGAAAATATTGCTTGTCTGATAAAAAACAACCATATTTTGATTATTTTTCGGATAATTCTGTATCGATTTTTGATCTCTCCTATGGCAGCCATTGATATATTTTATAGAATATCGAATATAGTATAGAATAAAGGGGGAGCCTGGTTAGAGGCTTAAAAAAATGGGTTTTTTTTTTAATAAAATTTCAGAAATAAATTCAAATTATTTTCGGATTTACAGAAGAAATAATGAGCAAGCATCAAGCAGCAGGCATACGTATCAACTAAAACTTTGATGTGCAATTTCTCGGCTTTATATTTCTCTATTCTTCCTAATTGGCGGGAAGGATAAGAAAAAAAATTTAACTTTCTATCGAAACGAGATATTCAGGACTCAATACTCTTTGATGCCTGCTCACTATTTCTACTGTAACTCCAAAAATAATATGAATTTGAAAAAAATTCAATTTTTTTGAACTCTCTAAAGCAGGCTTTCCTTAACAGAAAAATCGTCATAGCTCCGTTGTTGTTTAGCCTTTTTGAATTTTGTGGGAAATACATACATATTTGATGGCTGCAAGGGTATACATATATGCTTCGGCTTGCAGAAGATAGCTTCCTTTCTTGTTTTTATGTTGTTATTAATTGTCTTTATTAAATGCATATTTATTAGATAGTTTTAACAAATACTTAAGCTGAAAAATGTTTGTGAATCAACCTAAAAATAAAAAAAAATAGTTTAGCAGCTTTTGAACAAGACTTTTAAAATTACTTTGACATTACTTATTTAAGACAATAAAAAGTAATTTCGGTAAAAATTTGCTTATCTTACAACTGCTGCTTAAAATTATAACATCCTCTGCAAGAATACACACTTTAATAATAGCACAGTATAAACATTTACAATTACATATGGAGTATAAATTTAAAAAAATTAAAAAAAAAGCCAAGTTTATTTATTCTGGTGCTAACAAACAATAGTTTTTATGACACTGCAGTATGAGGGTGCATATTCTGAGTAACTTACACAACCATGCCATAAGCACCTTCGCCGATATAGGCCAGCTTAGTATATCTGGGACCCACTTCAAAAACTTGTCCCCTTATAACTTCAGCATTAGGATGAGGAGCTTCCATAGATAAGGTTCCTTCAATTTGTGATACGTTCGCATTTGATTCCGCCATTTTTTACACTTATACTTCTGCAACTTTTAATACTTGTTTATATTAATTAAAAACTCTTCGTTGGCATATTGAGATTATATTGTTTACATGCATATGTCACACCCCGAGTTTGATTTTTACACATTTTCTGTGTAAAAAACTAAAAAAATAAATGTTTTACTTTGTATATTGATTTTACCTAATAGATCGTAAATTGAGGAAATATGGATACGTGTATCTCATTTATGTTTTATTTACTTTTATTTAAACTGCGTAAATTTATTTTGTCAAAACGCCATTTAATAAATCATCGAAAAAAAGTCAAGTTAACGTCAGTACGTCACTGCTGTTTTTAAAAATTTTCAGTTTATTCACACTATGCAGCCAGGTAATGAACAAACAATACATTTAATCATATGATTTCAAACCTATTACTTAAGGGAACGTTCTCTTTGTTTTGGATCAAAAATTTTTTTTTGCAAAAATTAAATGTAGAATATGTGTGTGAAAGGATTTTTCGATACGATGAATAGTTTGTGAATGAGAGCGTCTCGAGTACACCTGCGTCACGCGCGCTATGGTACGCTCTAAAAACTTTAAACGCGTTTTTCTCGAAACCATGTTTTTTTTATTGGGCACTAAGCTACTCCGGAAATAAACAATAATTTATTTATAATTTTTCAACGTGGTTTAACGGAAAAAAAAATGTACGAAAATCTAACTTTAAAATTCGAACGTTCATTACGCGGTCAATTTATGGCCGCAATTTGATGCCATTAGGTTAGTGCATCACAAAAGTATATTAACTTTAACTAATGATAACAATTTTCTATTTCAGTTGACTACAAAAGGCTGCAGGCTCGGAATTTTTGGACGATGTTTGCCGCGCGGTGGCAGACGAAAGCCGCCATTTTGCAGCCAATTTTAAAAAATCTTGAATAATAAACGAATTCAAAAAGCAAAACCCGAAGTTCGTACGCCTTTTCATTATCCCACAAAAAATTGACGATATTTGCCTTCATTTCGACCGAAACAAAGAGAACGTTCCCTTAAGCTAGCAATAGCTGTTTTTCTCTTATAACCATTTAAGTGTTTGTTCAAATACACATTACCTTTTTAAGACAATAAAAGTAATTTCAGTAAAAATGTGCTTAGGGGCTTTTGCTAAACATGGTCTAGAATTTTTTTTATGATCTGCCTGGGCCCTATAAATTAGTATAATTGTGTGTTTGTATTTTGTGTGATACGCTTGTCAATGCCAGGGGGTCCCACGCAGTGGTCGCACTTTTCGTATCACTCCTTGGATGAAGGTTGGTGGTAATGAATCACCGGTTAGCCAGTGATCTTCTAATCCAGAAATAAGGATGATTATGTTGGAAGGGTGACTGCCCTTCTTAGCTGCAGGCGTAGCGACTCAGACAGTATTCAAATAATAAGATTTTAACGGCTGGTAGCCGGAGTTTCATTAATACTAGCTTGTGCTCTTTGTTGTATGGAAATCCAGAGTAAACTGAACCTAAAGCTTACATAAATGGAACTTCATAGCGGCCACGCAAATATGCTGTGTTTGCGACTATGACCGAGCGTCCGGCCAGACGCTGTGTCAGCATTTTGGCTGGTGCTGTCTTTCGTACGATCGGCCATCGCCGTCGCCCGGTTAACTTAATTAACTTATACATTAATAAAAAAGTGGCCGAAAGCATAATTTCTAAAATGTTGATAGTGTACAAGTTAACTAAAGTCAACCAGACAAAGTCGATGATTGAGATGTACCCAGCAATGGCCAAGTCGCCGCATTTGCATTTGAACGGATGCTCGTGCATAACCGGCAAGTACAGTGGTCACTATGATTTTTCAACTTATGTTAGCTTTAAGTGAAACAAATGTATTCAATTTCATTTTGCATTCAAAGGAATAAAGAGCAAGCTTAATGATTGCTGCTGCAGTAATCTATGTATTTCGATCGTATCTGGAGCCTGTGTAGGTAGTTACGTCTCCACAGGCCCTATATGTGCGGTTTTGTAATTGCGGTGCGTTGCAAACTTATGAGATATAACAACTTGCTGTCATACATTGCTGGTTTAGCAAATGCCTTGATTGACGATTGGGATCCTCAAAGTGGCTGACTAATTGGCCGAGAATTCAGAAAGTCTACGGCCTTGATTGCGATCGTCAGCTTGAAAGTATTAGTTGAAAGTACAGAATTTGATGAGAAGCAGGCATAGATTGCCAGATAAGTTTATGGCACCTTGCTGCGTAAGCGAAACCATTATTTAGTTAGCAAGTCCAGGTTTGTAATGGTAGCAGTGGATTCAGTTCCTTCCATCCGCCTCGACTTTGGCGTGAATGTTGGTCCGATGCAGATTCTTGACTTCTTAATAAGTCAGCACACAATTTGTTCGGACACCCGTGATTTCCAATCTTGTTCATTAATAACTCAACAAATATGCTGTTCACCAAATTGAATGACTCGTTAGCGCCTATTATATTCCATTCCGCTTGCAATGCTGTTTTTAGGGATTCCTTTGAGGATATACTGTGCTTAAATTTGGAGATTGGGGAGGTTTTTGAGCTGTTTGCAGTGATACAAGAGCCATTCTTGCACCAAATAGGAATAACGCTTTGGGTCGTTATCTTGTTGATACAAGAATTTCTTTGGATCAAGTCCAAGTTTTATAATGCTGGGAATCAAATTGTGGTTTAGAATATCCTTATACATAATTTTGTTCATTTTATCATCTATGAAGACCTTTTTGCCGACTACATACCCCCAAACCATCACATTTCCGCCACCATGCTTAATAGTTGGTATTACATTTTTTTCATTCAAAGCTGTTGATGTTAAAGATGTTGTTTTCTGATTTTGTAAGACTGAAGATACAACTTTCCGCTCCTCGCGTTGTGTCAGTATTTTGGGCCTACGAGCTTTACTGTGATCTGCAGCTATATCTCCGGTGTCCAGTTAATTATTTATCACACTATGTATTGTGGAAGGTGATTTGCCAATGATTCTACCAACTTCCCGGTAGCTACGTTTCTCCAAATGCAGTTTTAAGATAGTTTTTCGCAAATCTAAGGATAAATCCTGATTACGTTCCATTTTTTCTAATCTTATTAATAAACGCAGCGAAACTAACACAAAAAAAAAAAAAGAATTAAAAAAAGCACATCGAAGCCTAGTCCTAAGTAATTCCAAGTAAAATGTAAAAAAAGAATCACCAATTACACAATCTTACAAAATTAAAAAAAAATTTTGCAACGGAGATGGGGTGTATCGCTATTTTAGCATTTTTATTCTCGTTTGACGTTGTAAAACGGTACCGTGGGGCAAGAAATGTGAAAAAAATTCTTTTCTGGTGTCGTAGAGAATTCTATTACGAACATCCCCATATATCTCACTAGGTAAAATTTTTCAATTATAACGTTCATTTTTTCGAAAAAGGGGAAAAATTAAAAATTGCCTCTACTGCGAAATTTCTACAACTAACTAACCCTTTTTTTTTTGATGTTTTTTGTAGTCCCCAAAACAAAAAAATACACCCTATCTTCGTTGCAAAATCTTTGTAAGACAGTGTTACCGTTGCAATCAGAAATAAAAGGCAATAAATGAAAAGTTTTTTTTGCATTTCATTAACTGGATGAAAGGGCATTCTACAAAAATACTATTTTTTATTCGAAGCTGTTCAGAAAATATCTGTTTTCATAATAAAAAACTTTTTAAAATTACGAAAGTTGGGGGATTCCCATTGAGAACGAAATATGTTGAATTGCAACAACATTGATTGTGAACGCCTTCTGCAGTTCTTTGGGTGGGATTCTCATTGCTTATTGAATGGAGAATTTCCAGTTGGCTGAAACTCTATTTAATACGCGAAGGAATTAAGCCGATGTCCTCAAAATACGCCGACAGGATCCAAAGTGAGAGATGACAAAGTATGGCGCTTCCGAAATTTTGATCATTCTTAGGCGACGTCGTTGTTTTGTCACTTGCAGATCCAATATTGCTGCGTGTGAACGAAACTGCTTTTCATTTCTCTTGGTCGAGGTAATCTAATTTACAGATTGTTGATGATAGTAGTCTTTATGATCGAATTTAGGAACTGAGTACCAGAGAACAAAATCTTGCAGCTACGCCTCTTCGAGACGCGATGTCTTCGGAATTGTTCTTTCCGGGTAAATGTCGGCAAGTAACATTGCCCGAAATTTGTTGAATTTTGGATACTCTATTGGCAAAAAAGCACTTGAGCTAAGATGCATGTGGGTTTATCCAATAAAGATAAATTGGCGAGTCTGACCAAAAGAATGTTGAATTGAATATGCTTAATTTGGCAACAGGCTTGCCTTACGTAACTCCAATCTTGGTAGCGATAGTCCTTTGGCTGGTGCGACTTTTGACTTTGAATTTATCAATCGTGGTATGACTTTTCCATAAATAAAACAGCCATATGCTTTCTCTGATGCATCTAAAAACCCATGAATTTGTACTGGCTGCTGGGGGGATGAGTTGACGAGTCTCGGTATTTTGATTTTGTTTATGTTATCAAGATTCAATTCAAGTCGGCGCCAGTTCTTTTTGAGGTTAAATGGTTATGTATCATCCCTTCTACGACCTTGCAGCCAGAGTTTTTGAAGCGAACAACAACTCGATCGTAGAGACGAGCTAGAATCGAAAATATTCGTCGCTAAGTAATTTCTTCGTCTGATGACAATAAGTAGCGAAAATAGCTTGTGCGCGACTTTTTGGCTAAAAACAACTCACTAATGATGCCGCATCCACCGAATTCCCCAGATTTGGCCCCTGTGACTTTTTCTTGTTTCCTAAACTGAAGAGGCCTATGAAAGGACGACGTTACGCTACGCTTGAAGAGATAAAGACGGTATCAAAGGAGGAGCTGAACGAGATAAAAAAAATGATTTTTTGAAGTGCTTCGAAGATTGGAAAAACCGTTGTCACAAGTGCATAATATCTCATGGGGATTACTTTGAAGGGGGTAAAATAGATATTTTAAATAATTTTTGAAAAAACACAAATTTCGCGATAATTGTTTCTAAGAGGGGGCTTTTGTTTTATTTAGCAAGCTTTAACGAGATTCAGAAAATATGAAAGTGACTTCAATGACCTTTTGCTGCACCTCTTCACTTAAATCTGCCCCTTTCAGCAGATCGCCGACGTACATGTCCTCTAATGCACCAATAGAAAAATGCTCTTGTTTTCGTTGGGTGCCAAGAACAGTGTGAGTGCCATGTCATAAGTACCCGTATTGAGTTGGTTAATTTCCAGAGGGTGCTCAGGGGATGCCCTCCCAAATATAAGTTGATACTAGCGATCGCTG